CATATGAAAGCTAAATCACACTAAAGTAAAACATCAAAATTGACTACTTGGATTTCTCATGTACTATGAGACATTTGCAATCTAAATTATAGAATGATTATTTAACTAGAAGTATCCAATGAAAAAGACTTGGTTGTTTTTCCCTTGTTCAGAATTTATAATACAAAATAATTACAGCTTTGCACACTATTTGATAACAAAACAGTTTCAACAATGAGAAATGTCTCACGCAGTTGTGGCCAGTCTTTCCTCTGTGCTCTGGCCTGATGTAGCTTTTAGAAACTTTAGGCAAATGATGCCCCAAAGGGGAATTTTCATTCTGTACAACCGGGCAATAAATATGCAAATCAGAGGAGCGCCTAGCAGAATTACATGTGCAAATTCAAAACTCTGCTTTGTGGTTAAATCCTTGCTAGAGCTTCCCAAATCAGTGTTATGTTTCCCAGCATAGCTTTAAAATGCAAGTCAAGAGACAAAGAAAGCAACTTTTAAAAAGAAGTTTCAAGACTGAATGTCTTGATTTCATGAGGACTTTGATAGTGTTACTAAAAGGTGAGGACTAACCGAATTGGATAGCTTGGAGTGTTAGTCTATTTTAATTATCCTTAACTTCACCTACATTGACCATTGCACTAAAATGACAGCAGGACTTTGCTGCTTTGAATTTTTGCAGCATATTAGATCGGCTTTCATCACCATGAACTCATCTGTAACAAATTATAGGCAGTTTAATTTCTGCAAGCTGATTTGGCCAGTAGTAATATCATGTTATGGAGCTTTTTGATCCACAAGTCTCTAAATAAATAAAAATCCTTTGTTTTTTAAATTTATTTTACATAATTCAATTTATGAAATGATTTAAAATCCTTAAAGCAAATGTTATTTAGGAAAAAACATTAACGGATACTATTGTGAAAGAGTAATTTTAAAAGCTATATCCCCCCAAATTAAAAAATATAAGTGAGATTCTAGATTAAATCTTGTAAATCATGTATTTATAATGAAAGTTGAATCGGTGTGTTTTAAATATCATAAATTAATAGATTTGTGAAGAATATTTCAGAATAAGCACACTAATAAACAAAAACTTAGACATCTCATGATTAAAGAATAGCAAATCAGGATCCAAAAGTACTTTAGATATATAAGTATTTCTGGTTTTAAATACTGTGGTCCACTCTGTTTAAATATGTAGGAGGGTCACTTAGATTCTGTTATTCATAATTATTACTGATAATATTAAATTCTTACTGTGTGTAGGTACTGTGGGAAATATTACATAAGACCTCATATGGTTCTAACACCCCTTTTAAAGATATAAATATTATTTCCATTTTACAGATTAGAAGTTGAGAGTTAGAGATGTTAAATTATTAACAAAATGTCATACTACTATGAAACATCAGACTGAGATTTGAAATCTGGATGAATTAGATGACAGTATGCTTGTTTGTAATCACTGTGATGTACTAGTGATGCTAAAATTATAATCCCAGGATGCAGAATAGAACAGTGTAAATATGTCCCCATCTTACTATTTTTGCATGGCTTAAGGGATGGCTTATCTCTGGTAAATTTTGTAAATTTCATTCCATGCAACATCAGAAATGGATACATACACAATGCCTCCATTCCCTGCAACAAAACATTTGTCTTTCAAGTGGCCACTTAGCTAGTATGGATCTTAGTTAAGCATTTAGCAAAAGTTAAAATGTATAGCCAAACTTCGTCAGTGGGATTTTTTTATCAGATAAGGTAGAAACGAAAGCAGCAGGCAATTTAATTAGCAATAATTTTTCTGAGCAAGTCATTACTTTGATGAACTTCAGAGCAATGTTTATGGCCCCTAATTAACCATGTTAGTCATTTGATTGAATAATCACTTTGGAAATGCTTCTACAATTTGATTAGACTCTGACCCACTCTGATAGTCATAAATTAGCTTGTATCACTCTAGGATAACATGACTTTAGTTACTTTATGGGAACAAGCCTCTTAGCCATATTTTTTTCAGGCCTGTGGACCAGATAAAGGATACCGATTTTAAAGATAGACAGAATTTAAACAATGCTACCCAAGTGTCTCAATTTTAAGTGATGGATATTAATTTTGTTTATGCTAAGGTATAGTAAATGGTTGTAGAAACTGGAAAAAACACAATTATATTCTCATTGTCCCCCTAACTTTTCATTCATTGTTTTAAAAAAAAAAAAGGTTAGATCACATGTTAGGGTTTTGAACATATAATGAAGTATCTGGCATTAGCGTTATTATGTGTCATTAATTTATGATGAATATTAAATCAGTATATTTAAACATCATAGATAAGTAGCTAAAATTTTATGAGAATGCTACCAAGTACAGCAATAAACAACAAATCAGCTATTTTAATAGATGAGTATTTGTGAAATTATGCATCAGATCTTACCTTTGATTCAAGTATCTGGTTTTCCAGGATGACGCTTATCTTGTATTGTTTTTTAAAACTTTTTATAAGCTATTCCTTGAGCTCTGAGTAGTGGGTTTTCAGGAATATTTGCATTTCAGCTTTTCCTTTTCTTTTCCTGCACCTCTGGGAAGGAGAGACTACATTTGGTCACACTTACAGATAATAGAGTTTAGCCTGTGTGTTTTCCTCTTGCCACCTCCAGAGCCAGCCAGCTGTCTTTACAGCCATGCTCCAGGTGTGCAGCCCTCAGTAAAAGTATTTTGTGGCCGGGTGTCAACATTAGTAGAACAAAATGCTTGCCTCTGAGCAGCTGCTGAACTGATGGCTGTCATTAACATTGTCCCTTCAAGACCCAGCTGCTTTGAGCAGCCTTTGGCCTGGCAATAAATCAGAATAACATTAAAAATTAATTCAAAGTGTCATTGGTTAAAAACTTGGGATAAAATGGATCACTAACTATTGGCCACCCAAAAGATCAGCTGTGTTTCGACTCTTTTATAAATGCTGGTATCAGGAAACAGAGTTCACTTAGCCTGTTTAGAATCATAATTCCATACTACATCATATTTTATATAAAGAAGGCATGTTATAATGAAATATCTGATAATCAGTTTTACAGCATCTTATACTTGTAGGCTATTAATTCCTTCATACCTTTAAATATTATTAGTATTATAGATTTCCATTATTTTGGACTAAAATGACATTAGATAAATTTTCCTGTGGAAAAAAAATCCCCATATTTTGATTAATATTTATCACTACACCAAAATATAGTACTGTCCTTCACCAGGAAAAATTAAAAATCACTACATTGACTAAAAAAAATGGAACATAACAAACCGAGGAAGAACTACCTCTAGACCAAATAAATAGAGCTAATAATCTCTCCTAACAACAAAGTGTGTATATGAAGAGTAGATTCTAATTCACTTAAATGTTTTTTTATTATCTCTCTGGAATCTTATGTTCACTAGAAGTGGTAGGAAGAAGGCATGCTTTCTGTATTAAATACTACATTTGTCATACGTGTTTTAAGAGTTTTTGTACATGTTCTTAAGAAAACTTTAGTTATCATACATATAGATGTTGTAATTATCTCAGTCACATATATTTATATATTCCTGTGTAACCTATGCTTGTTAAATGCAAAGTTTGGCCCAGATTTGTGGGACCTGGAAATTTAAATTTGGGGAACGCTCTTTAAGAAAACAAAATAAAGCTGCCAGTATAAAATTAAGTAAAGAGCCTTGGGAGGAACTCTTACAACAGTGGAGGGTCATGAAAGTTAAATCTCATTGTGGTTTCACCATGAATCTACCCAAGGTTATGTGAGAAAATCTCCACATTCAGAATCAAGGAACTTGAGACCCAAATCTTTGTTTTATAGAAACGTAGACACAAAATGCTTTGTCATAAGTTATGTATCTTAATTATCAGTAAGTGAAGGACTTGAATTTTAATCTTTTGTTTGTTGTTCCATATTTATTTTCTTTTTCCCTTATTTAAACAATAAACACATTCAGTATGGAGCATCACTATGCCTCAGACATAAATATTAACCGAGGTTATTTTGTTAGTGATGAGATACCTCCTTCATGTAGGCAAGGCCTCACTCTTTAGAGTGTGTTAGCTCTCCATGGCTTGGTAGAATATCTGACGCCCCCAACATAAAGCAGAAGAGGTTTATATTTGACTCATGTTTTCAGAGGGTTCAGTCCATGGTTATCTTGTTCCATGACCTTTAGGCATGTGGTAAGGCAGAAACATCATGGTGGCAGAGCCTCAAAGAAGAGAGTTGGTAACTTCATGGTAGGGAGAGAGTAGAGAGCAGACATCAGAGAAGAAGAGGGCTGGACAAGATACAGTCTTTAAGGTCATATGCCATGACCTGTTTTTTTCAACTAGGTCTGAACTCCTCAGTTACCATCACTTTCCAATGATTACATCGTGTCCATGGATTAATCCTCTGATGAACTTAGAGCCCTTGTGACCAATCACCCTCCAAGAGTCCATTAGCAACAAAGCATCTAGTGTGTGGCCTTTGGGGGGAACATTTTAGATCCAACCCATAAACAAGCTAATAAATATTTGTTCTGAATTGTTATACTTGTTTTAGATTCCTCATTGGTTCTGAATATGACCTGTGTTCTTCACAAAATGAAAAGCTAATCATGTGTTTTTCTGGGTGAAACATAGCAATTGCATTAAAGAGATTAAGCTGTTTGGATTTTTTCATAATACTTTCTGTCAGGTATTCATGAAATAAACTATGAATGAGCCTTTGATGACTTTTTTAGGTACATAGTATGCCATTGAATGTGTACATTGCCTAATACTTACCTCATAGGATTCTCCTAATGACCCTTTAAAAGATATCAGTATTATTTTTCCCATTGTGTAAGGCCTGCCAGAAATATTCACCACATGTTGACTGATTTTCCTCCTGGGGACTTGTGCCAGTATTGTAACTATTCCAGCTATCTGTCCATTGAAAACAACACCCTTTCAGCTCCTGACCAACTCTAACTAATCTTGTTTCCTCTTTCAGAAGTGCCTAGCTGCCACTCCATTTATATGAGGCAAGAAGGCTTCCTGACTCATCCCAGCAGATCAGAAGTTAAGTCTTCTATTTTTAAAATTCTTTGTAAAATAGTCAGACATTCCAAATATGGGGCCACTTAGTTAGTCATAATATGCTTTGGGGAAATTCATTTATGTTCCCATAACCATTACTTTAAAAACTTGTATCTTTTTAAAGTAAAAGGAAGGTTTTATTTTTGGTGCTGATAGCTTGTATTTGGTTAACATGAGTCGTGCACATAGAAATAGCTGAAAAATGGATTTCTGTGTTCTTTTTTTTCAACAACCACATTCCTTTAAAGTAGAACATGTGCTTTATAGATCAATCCACCTTCCTGCACTCTACTGAAATGTATCTTCGAGAATATTCAGTTTTGCTTTTACAGATGTAAGCCATACTTAAGAAGTAAAACATTTACCTAGATATTTTTATAAGGAAATAAGGGATCTGCCTCAGAGCATCAGGGTAATAATGCAAGATAAATGCGAGTAAATCACCGATTTTCCACTCTTCCCATTGAATAACAAAACCAAGAAAGAACTGGAAAGGGAGAAGAAAAATTATAAATCTTAGGTTTGCCAATATTTATGTGAGATCTGCTCTTGGCTTAATAATAATATAAACAACTAATGTTTACACACCACTGTGTGCTAAGCATCACTCTCAATTTTCATACATTGAATCATTTAATCCCAGAACCCTGTGAGATGTTAGGTAGTGGTCATTCCTATTTGGTTGATGAGGAAACTGAAACAAAGAAGTTAAATACTATGCCCAGGGTCAAAGGACCAAAGAGCAGTAGACTCACTTTTCTGCACAGTTTTTGTGTTCATGGCTATATTTTACAGTGCTTGTGAGCTTTGTTTGTATCATTAATAAATATATCCCATTTCCCCCATAGGCTGTATGTTTGAAAAAGGCCCCAGGCAGTTTTATGATGACACTTGTGTTGTCCCAGAGAAATTCGATGGTAAGTATATTCACTGTTCCCAGTTTTGATTTTTGTAAAAGAGAATGGAATTATCACTCTTCCTTATTTCATAAACTGCTTAAAGATTTCTATGCACATCATTTATCATGTACTCCATTCTAGCTAAACTTGATTTATTATAAATTCTCCCATTTCTTCCTTCATTAAGAACCCTTTTCCTCTTTTCTGTGAGAGAGTCTACTTTTGGAGCTATAGCCAGAGAGCATCATTTTTGCTGAGCTTTGTGCGGAGTAAGAGGGGTCTTTCCATTGCCCTGCTGAGCACATGCAGCTTGTTATTCGAGATTTATTGAAAGCTGATCCTGTAATTAACAAAGCAGAGCAGAAAGCATGCTACTGTGGATGCACTGATGACTAATGCAGTCTCCTTTCTTTCATTGTTCATGAAAAGATGCATTATGGAACACAGGAGCCACATAACTGCCCATTTAGTTAGTGATTGTTAGTCCCTCTTTTTTTTTCCCAAGGAAGATGTACATTACTAATATAGCATTACTTTGTAATTGCTTAAAAGGGAGTTAGGAAAGCATTGCCTTTGTAAATATCACTCACAGTTTCAAAGCAAAGGTCTTAGATATTTTAAAAAGAGCATCAAGTTAGATAGAATCTTCTTTTCTTGACAAGGGTGGCAGAAGTCGGCATTTACAAGGAAGCCTGGGTAAAAAGTGAACGGTTAATTCATTTAGTGGTTCTTCAGAGTGGTCTCCATATTTCCTGCTTTGATTGTTAAACAGGAAGCGAGCAGGGGCCCTCTGATTAGCTGATTGCAAAAACTTTGGGGATCAGGCTATAATGACTTGGAAGCTCTGAGAGTTTTTAATTGTCATTATTTAAACAGAAAAGTACACATTCAGATTGCTTTTCAATCTCTAATTAGTTACTTGAAGACTACTCTGTGTTCCCAAGCTTCTTGCTATTCTTATACTCTTGTATTTTCAGAAAGATTAGTAAGTCTTTGGAAATCTGCTACTTTACCCTCCCTTAAAATTGCTAAATGTGTTTAAGGTCCCAGAGTTGAAACCCCAGTGGGGGTCATTGTTTTGGCTTTATTCTGCAGTAGATACTCTAAGCTTTGTTTCTGAGGTGTGAGCACCATTAGCATAACATCACAATTCTCAAAATACAAATTATTCTTTGGAGACAAAGCTTTAAAGCTTCTACTTGTTGAAATGACCTTCATCATTTCTTTTCATTTATACTGAGCTTCACATTGCAAGTGATGTTGTAATTAGCAACGGCATGTAAGGAGGAAAAATGTCTTACAACGGGTAAGATTATGTTACAATCTGTAGGCCAAAGTCACACTAATGTTCAGGGAACTGGCTGTCGTGATTATTCCCTTTGATTTTTAAGTAATCTTCAATTTTATACTAAGGAAACATTTTTTGAAAGATAGTGTTTTTCTTTCATTTTGTAAATATTGGAGAAAAAGAGGAAAGAAAAAGGAGGGTTTTGTTGTTGTTGTTGTTGTATATGGCCCATATGGTCAGTTGTATAGGTAGAAACACTATAGAAACTATAAAATTTAAGAATGTTTTACTCTGTCGGCATATTTGCTGTTACCCGCATAAAATTTTGCAAATCTCAGAAAGAAACCTGAGATAAATGAAGCCTTCTTTGAAATCAATGTGAAGATGCATGACTATATTTTCTAGTTAAGAGCAAAATAATATAATGATTTTGACCAGCTATTGACTAAGTAATTTTGTATTTCAGTTTAGCTTTTTAAAATGTTGTTTTATAGTTATTTTAAGAAATACATTTCTGTCCATTGACCAAAAGAACATTTTAGAAAGCTTATGATTTGGTTTATTTTATAATTCATACTTAGTGTGAATGGATCCCCTGGAACATATTCTGACCGAATTATTTATTTAGTGGAGAAAAGAAATTGATACATTAAAAATGATGTAATATACTTGTATGGCCCTAGACACCCAATCCCCAGTGTGACCAATTCCATATATTTTTTAGATGGTTGGCTTGAGATAGAAGTAAACAATCAGTGGTCATGACACTATTTTTTTGTTTTGCTTTGTTTTGTGAAGCCGAGATAACTGATCAGATATGCAGCAGAAACATTATCATGCTAACATCTTTATTGCTTTTTATCATATTTTTATGCTATATATGAATGTCAAATAAATATAACAGAATAAAATATTCCCTGCTTAAGAATACAGATGTACAGAAAGCTTTGGTGTATTTTTAAATTAGACCTTTAGAAAAAGTTTAGCAAGGTAAATTCAAGTGAGTAAAATACATGTAAAATATAAAGAAAAACAAGTGAAAATTCTGATTTGTTGACAGGTGAAAAAGTGGTATCTCCCAGGTGAAGGTATAGGAAGGAAAGTGTTTATGATGAAAGTCCAGTATGGCCTGAATTACCTAGGAGATTTTCAAAATTAATCTACAGTGTAGATTACTTAACTCAGAGTTTATGATACTATTAAATTTGCTTTGAAATATGTGCAAGAAAATTTCAATAGTTTTTCTTGTGCAGGTCAATAAAGTATTTACAAACTATAGTTTGAAGAATTTAATTTGTACAAATAAAATGCCCAGAGCTTAAAATTGATTTCTTCCTCTTCAATGTTGCTTAAAGTAGTGAGTAATGGCATTAACAATAAAAGCAAAGACATATGATTAAACAGTATATTTTTTAATTATATGATGAAAAAAGAATTACAGTATATACAAAATTTTATGTCAGTGACATTTGTGGATTTATTATACACCAGTGTGCACTTACATTGATTTGAAAAAATATATATATATTTATACAGACTACTAGTTTACAATCACATAATTATTTAAAATTCCTATTTAATGTTAACATTATATTTCATAGAAGCCCCAAAAGTAGTTCTCTTTAACCACTTGAATTACTAAGTTAATGTGAATTTTTACATAAATGACATAATATTGCTGCTAATAATAGACTCCTAAACTTTTTTTTTTAATTTAGGGGACATCAAACAAGAGCCAGGAATGTACCGGGAAGGACCCACATATCAGAGGCGAGGCTCACTTCAGCTTTGGCAGTTTTTGGTAGCTCTTCTGGATGACCCTTCAAATTCTCATTTTATCGCCTGGACTGGTCGAGGCATGGAATTTAAACTGATTGAGCCTGAAGAGGTTGGTTGGGTGGATTTCTGTTAGGAAAATTAGATGTGTTATAATGTAATCAAACTGATGTATTTGATTAATATGCCAAACTGTAACTTTTAAAAATTTTAAAACTATACAGAAACTTTCTGAATTAGAAAGTGGGCTGCAAAAGGTCTATATTTAATAGTATTATTTTATCACATGGTGTTTCCGATTGAATGCCATCTTAGAAAATTGATGTTGAAGAAAATCCACCGTGGCATCATTAGCACAAAAATCTGTATTCAGAGAAGTCTCTGCAGGAGCATGTGACTTGGAGGAGGCAGGAGTTTTATGGTCTGTATGGGAGAAGGGAGAGGTCTGCCCAAGTCCAATTAGTTTCAGAGATGGAGAAATTTTTCTTTCGATCAACAGTCATTATTTGGACAGTCTGGATTTTATCAAGAGGGTAGGAGAGAAACATTTGAGGATCAAAATCACTGTTGCAAGAGAGGTTAGGGGAGGAACAGCTATTCGGAAGATGAAGCTATGTAAGGCCCACAGTGGAAACTTTGCAGACCTTGTGTCTTTACAAGACACAGGCCTGGTAGAGACAGACATTCTTTCCCTTTGAGTGTTAGCGACATCTGTTCCAAGTCAGCTGGACTGCATGTACTCCACTGGAAGACAGGGTTGGAGTTTAAAATCCTGCTATGGTACATAAGAAATTACCAAGATGAAAGACTATGCATAGAAACAACATATATATGTGGAATATACTTTCAACCAACAAACAGTTCAGATGTCCCCTCGTCCCACCCTGCAATACACACAGAAATGGAGAGTTTCCAGGATGAATGTCTCAGTTAAATGTTTATTCTCCTCAGAACGAGATTTAGATTCAAGGCTGCTACTGTCACTGGAACCTAACCTCTCAATAGCATTTTGTACCTCTATGTAAAGGTGACTGTTATATGAAATTTTTGTGTTTTATTAAAGATACTTTCTCTGCTTAAAATTGACTTTAGTTTGTATCAGTCAAGAAAGCAATGGAAGATTTTTAGCTAACATGTTTATGACTGATTGTGCTATAGGCTGTTGAATCTACAAACCTCAGTAATGTTAAAAAATTCAATCAGGCTGAAATACTTTTGAACTCAAAATAATTAGTTTCACACTTACTGGCCCTCTAGAACCTAGGCTATGGGGCCCTTACATCTTAATTTTTTTGTTTATTAAATAAAGCATTCAACATAATCAGGTGATATGCCCCAATTTGATGTTCACAACACAAAGTTACATAAAGTAATAAATTCTTAGAAATTATCTGTTTCAAAAAGGTATTATAATAACTATGAAATAAGAAGTCTATTTAGAGCAATTAAGCTTCCTCCATTCATATCAAAACTCCAGTTGCATCTGAGGGTTGGCTGCTCAGTGTCTCCCTTGCTTCACCTAAAACACACACACACACACACACACACACACACACACACACCCCGACACACAGCTCAGTATCTGAAATTGAAAATGCCTCTTATTTAGTATAAGCTAAATGTTTGGATGTTTAAATGTTTATAGTGTGCATAAAAAGAATTTGGCTGTCAAAGAACATTAGTTTTTCTTTACAGATGTACTTAAATGATGGTGAAAGAACCACAAAAATGTGAACCACTAACAAATTAAAGCTACAAATACTTAACAGAATAATTTGAAAGCCCTGCAACCTGATGGGGACATGTGTTTTTCCCCTCATGGAAGATGGTAATAACCACGGCACGACTTGATTTATGCTGGAACTGACCATATTCTACAGGGATTTGTAACAGTTAAACAGTTATTTCCCTCCACCTGTGATTAAAATAAACTAAGCAGAAATATAGTTTTTTATTTTTGTCATGTATTTGTTAAGATAAGAGGCATTACTGACTTATGTCGGTACTTCTTGATCCACTAGGAAGAGTAAAATTTCTGCAAGTGATTAAGTTCTTTATATAGAAACAATTGATTTTTTTGATGATCGAGTTTGAGTAAGTAAAGTTCAGCAGATGACCATTAAGTTCCATCAATTTCTAAGTTTCTGTGATTTTTTAATTTTTTAAATTTTTTTTCTGTGATTTTTTTTTTAAATACAGGGAAGAAAGACAGTTATGTCTGTTCCATACAACAAACTCACATTTTGAGAACTTTTGTGTAGGAGACTTATGAAGTAAAGAGGGGTTAATTTAGAGCCAGCAGACTATTTCTACATGGTAACTAAGTCAATAGGAATTGTGCAATGAGCACTGAATGTCTCTGAAAACTTTTGTTCAAAATGAAACATCCCATATTTTATTACTGCATCACTTGCTGTTGCAATTGGTTCCATCAGGCAATGATTGTGATGTCTTATTAAGACTTCTTTTTTGGAAAAGGTTTGCGAAATTTCTTTAGCCTGTGTGGCCCATGTCTCCCTCTACCTTCTGCTGCATAGCAGCTCTTTGAGTGTGTGTATCAGCACAACTCATGAAAGATGTCCCTGAAGCCACTGTTTTATTACTTATGAGTTTCACTACTTCCTATTTTATTTCGAGGCTTAAAATTATATTGCAGCTTCAAACATGAGCAGATTATCTGCTCATTGTGTTTGGATAACTTTAGAAACCACATAATCTTTAACATCTCTCTTTTTGAGATATTTGAGATAATGAGATAATTATTTTCAAATTAATAACATCAAGAATTTATTTCAGGAACAACTGTTAATATGGTCAGGCATCTATACAACATGCCGTCAAAGTCTTCTGATAATATTCAAGCTTTTTGAGCACCAGGAAGTTTTTTTGTATTTTGAAGATTGACTATTAATTAAATCAAGGATACTGTTTGACAATAAGTGGAATAAGACTTAAGCTATTACATTGCCCCATTTAATTCTGTGGACAACGTGGCCAAATGCGATAGTGCTATCATCTTTTTACTTTACTCACTAAAGCCAAAGTTTTCATTTGAAGGAATGTTACAAGGATGTCACTATCTCACATATTCCATAAATATGCCTTGGCTTTCAGGGATGCTGGATACAGTGGCACTGATGTGTCACTGAGTGTACTTTCTCAGCTGACGGGTGGTCTACCTGACCTGGGAATTATTTATGTTCCCTGTTAATTTTAAATTTCTTTCCTCTCTGCATCTCCTAAGCATATTGCTGTCTCATTTCTTTCAACTTTGTGAAGGCTATGACACTAAAGCAAGTCTGAGGATTCATTTAAAAAAAAAATAGACTAATGACCACAATGCTGAGAATTAACTAACATCATAAGAATCAAACTCTATAAGCCTACCACTTTTTTTATAGCATTTTTTAAAACTATATTTCTCAGAGACATCCATAAAGTTATCTTGAACTTTGTTTTTAGTATTTTATTTTCTAGGTGAATCCTGCTGAGTTTCTAGAAAAGAATCATTTATAAATGACTAGGTATTCAGATGGTTGTTTAATCTAAAAAGACATTAATAATTTATTTTTGCATCCCCTCAAGGTTTACATGCTGTTCAGCTGCCATGTTTATTAAAGAGTCCTTGAATGCCCATTGTTAAGTTTTTGAATGATATTTTATTTAGAAAACGCTTTAATTTCTCTTTGTCACCTTCCTCTTTCCCATTTCCCCATTGCTCAGAATATTTATATTAAATGAAGTCCATCTTTGGAAAATTAATATGTATGTGCCACTGTGATTATTGGCTTGGATATAATCTTGTCCCTGTTACATCACATCTAACTCTTTAAAATCTATACTGATGCATCTGGCTAAAGCATGTTGTATTTTCATTTAGAGAATGCAAATTAGAGAGAAAATATGAAGGATAGGTGTTTTTAAAATAAAATAAGCCCTGGAGACAGGCTATTGCTAATAAAATGAAGAGAGACAGAATGCTCTCTTAACAGAGCTATTTTGGTATATATGACCTAGCAACAACTTGGAATTTCAAGGAAATGAAGGAACACACAAACCCTGTTAGATAATGCTCTCCTCGAGTTGCCTAGGTTTGCATGGCAGCCGCAGATTTTGCTCAGAATAATAAAAGTGGAAGTTAATGAGAACATGACTTTAACTGGGATCGCAAAGCCACCTACACTACCTAGGATAATGCCTCAGCTGACCCAGCCCGGGGGTGAGGTAGGGAGATACATAAACCGAAGAAGGAAGTGTATTTTTAAATCTCTATTGATGAACTCCACCTTAACCTGAGATATTGCTCCACCAAAGCCACATATTAAAAACCTCCGAGAGTTTTTACTAAGTAACAAAGTGGAAATTCTGGTTTAGAGATTTTTGCTTGTAGACTCAAATACATGGTGACCTTTTCTACTTCCTTCTTATTTTTAGCATCCAGTTACTGTTCTCTAAATGAATGCTTAATTCTCCAGTTTGATATTGGCTACAATTTTATTCTGATGCTGCTCCAGGGAATAAAAATTATTTGTAGTTCAGTTTATTAATTTGTATACTATTTTCTCTGCTACACACACTTCCAATTTGTTTATTCTTTGACACAATAACTTAAGGGTCTTTTCTTCTTTGGTTTATCATAACTTTAATAAAGCACCTTTATAAAGAGATCATGAAGTTCCTCTTATCTTAATCTATAGTTTTGTCTGAAAAACTAAGAAGGAAAAAAACAGATAGTGTATCTCAAATCGGAAAACTTGCCTCATTTTGGTGAACTGTAGTCTGTTCATTCCCGTTGTAAACACATTCCCTTAATTCCATTTAATTCTGTATCCAAAACAATAGTGACAAAGAATTCTATTGTGATATTTCAGAATGATCACTGCATGCTTGGTTTAAAAAGCAAACCAGGCCACAGGAAGTTCAGATCACGATCGCTTTTGTAACTCTACTTATGTCTTTGATATGGACGTGTTTTTATAGGCTAAGTAATTGATTAATTAACCACTTTCTTCTGAAATATGCTGTTAATACTTAACACTATAATACAATTCTCTTTTGGTGGCAGGTGGCCCGGCGTTGGGGCATTCAGAAAAACAGGCCAGCTATGAACTACGATAAACTTAGCCGTTCACTCCGCTATTATTATGAGAAGGGAATCATGCAAAAGGTGAGAAGCTAATACAGCACTAAAATTCATTGAAATGTTGCACATTAATCTGCACGTCATACTTTAAGAACCACATATTATTGCATTGCTGAAGCAAGGTTTCCACTCATTTTAACAATGCTTAGCTCTTGATTTTTGTGTTGCAAGCTTTTCTATTTATAAATTCAGGGACACCATCGACAAATGTGTAGTAATATTATATACAAAGTACTAGGCTTCCTGAAAGTTTCCACTTTGGTGCACATGTTTTTGTTCCAGTATTGATAATGCATCTATATATTTCCAGAAGTTGTTATTCTACTGCATTCTCTACAATTATATGTAGTTTTGGAATATTTTTATTTATAGATTCCAATGAAAATAAAGAAACTTAGATTACTTTAATTCTTATTTTTTGCCTTGTTCTGATTCTTTTTTTTTTTTTTGGTACCAGGGATCGAACTCGGGTCCTTGTGCTTGCACAGCAGGCGGCAAAACTACTGATCTAAATCCCTGGCCCTGCCTTTTTCTGATTCTTAAAACATGGGGATTTTTTTTGTTCTCTTTAGCAAAAACACGTATTCTTGCCTAATATCTTGCCTGATTTCATTACCTGACAGCTTGATATCCTAAACACTTATTTAAAATAAGTATTTGATCTCATTTTGTTGGTAAAACAAAGGTCAGTATATTTTATTTCAAATGAGCTTCCTTTAATATTTGGAAGTAGCTTTTTTTAAAAAAAAGATTAAAGATAAAATAAACGAGTTACACTTATGATAAAATACACCATTTTGAAGGAAATAATGAACAAGCAGATAAAACATTTAGATGTCTGTTATTATATTCTTCAGCTTTGCTTGTATTTCAATTTTAATTGCCTTGACTTTTATGATTTATCTGTTGTGGACATTACAGTTTTATTGTGCATCCTTTGTTTATTTGAGGGGATGTAAATCTAGTTACATGTCATAGGTCCTGGCATATTTTTATGTCATCATTGTGATGCCAAGAAAAAATGAGTCCATTTGCTACATGAAACTTAACAGAGAGAATTAACATAGAGATTTCTAGAACACATGGAGTCAGTGCCGGAATTTGCTAGTTTATAATTTAGAGCTTTCAAGAGCCTTGAAAGATTAAGTTGAATTGTTTTTCTCCCCAATTCTTGAACCCCACCTTCAAAAATATAACTGTTTGCCATCTGTTCCTTCCATCTTTCCCATCTCAACCTTGGGATCATTTTTCTTTCCTGCCTTTTTCACCCGCCATATTCACTTGTAGTCAAATCCTTTCTGCTATCTTCTTCCTCACGCAGGGGCTTCTTGTAGGGCCTTCTCCATAGCTGTTTGGTGCTTTCTCTGGGCCACACTGCATGGTTGTGGCAGTGTTGCCTTGTGTTGGGTTTCCCAGCTGACTTCTCACCACATCACCTTCTTAAACAGATTCTCCTCCTACTCAATGGTGATCACCTTACCTCACTGAAGATTGTTAATGTGATTATTAAGTGAAATAATGTACCTGAGACACCTTGTATGGTACCTGGCATGATAAAAGCCCCAAATAAATGGTAGCTTCAGTGCAGCTCACATCCTGAGGTCAGTGTAAGCTATGGCATATGTGGCTTGTACGTCTTAGCCATTAAGCCCCTTACTAAAAGGAGCATTCTTAGAGAGCTAAAAAATTATTACGATATCCTTACTTCCATTTCAGCTTTCAGAAAATGGTTGTGTTAGTCAGCTTTCCATGCCTATAACAAATACCAGGGATAAACCAACTGATATAGAGAAAACAGTTTTACTTCAGGTCACAGTTTTGGAGGTTCCAATTTATGATAAATTGCCTCATTATTTTGGACCTTTAGCCAGTCAGCAACAAACTCGCTCTTCTATGGCCAGGAAGTGATAGAAAAATTGAAGAAGTTGGGGGCCCCCTCTCCCCTTTGACAGCATGCTCTCAGAGATCTAAGGACCTTTCATTAGTTTCCACCTCTTAAAGTTGCCACCACTTCCCATTAGCACATGCTGGGGCCCAGCTCCTACCACTTGGACCTTTCAGTGACACTGAAAATCCAAACGAGCAGTGGTTTGAAAAGGATCTCCAGGATGTCATGCCGGGTCTTAATATTCTGCAATGTTCTCAAACTTACTGTACACATCACCAATTCCACTTTCCCATTTATTTACTGTCTTATTCCATATTTCATTTATACATTCTCTTATTTTAATAAATTAAGGCAGAAGGCTGTCAAATGGTGACATAGATCTTAAACAACAATTAAAAATGTTGTTGATCCTCATATTTGTCCCTATTAGGCTGTAACTGCCAAAGAAAACTATTTATGATTGATTTGTCAGTTAATGCAGGGAAGTAAAATGCTATGTATAGCAGATCCAAAGGGTGTCACTGTGTGATGTAAAAAAAAGGAACATTATTTAATTGTAGTCTACTTGCAGCTGGTATTCAACCAGGCCCCTTATGATGTTGATGCCCATCTTTATCCTTTCTCACACATGAAAACACTTGCCTTGCAGTCCCTGGACACACCCATGACTCCAGGGGAGCATCTTCTATATTCTTCCTAGAATGTTCTGCCCTTCTCATCTTAATGTTAATATATATACCCTATGGATGATTAAGTAAATCCTAGTGTAGTCATTCAGAGAAAAACTATGCCACCCTTTTTATTTAAAAATTTGTGATGTGGGATTACATATTTCACTATGTAGGTGAAAATATTTATATGGCCACTTTTATTCATTAACTTAAAACTATGTGGATGTATGAAGTATAAGTAAAAAAGAATTAAAAGACTATAAAATAAAATAAAAACAAATACTTTTAAACTGTAAAAAAATGAAAGCTAATTAATTTCAGTAATTATAAAAGAAATAAATACTGGAGCAGTATTTATTACACCTTATAAAAACATGTGTGTACTTCTATTTTGAAGAAAATGCCTAGAAAAATACATACCTGTATTTTGACAGTAGTTATTTTCTGGGTGACTTCATTATTTCTTTTTGTTTAGTCTGGTATTTCTAACTCAGCCAATATGCTGAGTTATTTATGAAATTTGTAAGTTAAAGCATAATTGAAATATCTAGCCTTTGATAGCACAGCAACAAGACATCTCCTTGCTTACTTCTGATTTCTGTTTTTTCTATCTCAGTGTGGCAATTTGGGCCTTCTTAATGTACAACCTGGTACTAATTATATTACTAATAATGGAAGCCATCATTTCCCTTTTGGGATGGCAGCCCTTGTTCTAAGCTCAGTTACATTTAACACAATCAAATAAATGCAGTGGTAGCCCTAAAAAGTTAATTCAAGAAGAAAATAGGAAGAACCAATGAGTACAGGAGAGTCCTTAAGAGATTCTGTAATCTTGACAGTGTGGTATATATTTAAATCTCTCATGGTGAAAAGTTTTCAGTTATCACATCATTTCTAATTATAACCAGTATCAACATGTCAGACAATAAAAGTTGCAGTAACTACAGCAAATATCCCAAGCAAAACGAAACAGATTATAGATCCTTTAGAGGAAGACAGGCCATTTATTTTATTTTTATTCTGAAAAATATTTTTAACAATGAAAAAAACCACAAAACTAGGATTTATTATTCCAACTTGTTTCTGATTTTGCCTATTTTTATTTTATAGTCATTTTTCCAGTTCCCCTTTAAGAAATTAATTTCCTTTATCTGAACCACCAAATTAAATGAATTATGCCAAGCTCCTCTGTCCATCTAGAGGTGTCTTTCTCGATGCCACAGCCAGTTTTCCAAGGAGCCATTCTTGTCTCCACTTCACAAGACCAGAAACCAAGCAGCAGTTTAAGAAACATGTCCAAAATCATAAACACTACCGAGAGTTAGCACTTTCAAGTTCAGGAGTATTCAGATTATTTGGATTTGCTAAAGTGGTTCCTCTCATTTAAATCAGGGCCAAAAGCATTTTAAATCTGTGTTCAGGGGAGCAGGGTGTTTTGGCAGTTGCTCCTTTTCCCCTAAACACATACAGATAATTTATAAAGCCTGAAAGCACTCTTCTCCCGACACCACAAAACAAACCAAGTAGCAATGCCTTTGACACACAGGAACACAAAGGTGTTGAGTAATTTTTCAACTATCTAAAATTATAAGACACACACACACAGGATTAATACAAACAGCTGTATTTGTTCACTGCCCTCTTGGGTTTTGAGCACTTCAATATTGTCTGTTAATGGGAAGTATATTAACATACTGTCTCATTCTGTTGTTTATAATTTTCTACAAAAGCAATACTCTTGAGAGTTTAAGTTTGGGATATGTCATTCCTTATAAATTATACTATGTCTCCTTTATTTTAGACAGTTGTCACATTTCTTTTTCTCATTTCCTCTGTATGCATTGTATATTTTTGATTCTTTTCACTTTTTTACACCTCTTGCTTCAATTTGACACTTTGCATACATCCTTAAGTTCTGTCTAATGTATCTTGCCTTCATTTTTAAAAGTGATGTATCCAGGATAATGCTGTCCTCTTGATCCATCTTTCATTTAAATAAGGCTATATATCTTGGATTTTTAGATGAGACTACACGGTGCAAAAAAATAAATAAATAAAAAGGAAGAGGAACGTGCACCCTGAGAATCAGTGAATCACTATTCTAGTCTCATTAAGAATAAAATATATTTTTCTTCTAAAGTTTGAAAGTTGAGCTTTTATACCAGTTCAGAAATGTAATATGGAGAGGGAGACATTAATCCTTAGAGATATAGGTTTTTATAAGTATATTACTCTCAAACAAACAAAAAATTCCAATATGAACTGCCTGCGTTAAATCTTTGATTTTTTTCAAAATAATAGTGTAAAGTTCATTTTTATGTTAAAACAAGCAAACCGCTGAGTTTCCAGTAATATCTGGAATGAAATAATTATTACTCAAGGTCAACATTTTGTATTTCCCTCCACTGAACCCTAATTTATTCCACAAGGGAAGGCTTTTGTATTTGAATCTGCTGCTAACAAGTTGCTTTCTAATTTTGTTATTCAACCTTTCCAGTATAGTAAATTATGTTTTTTCGTTTGTTTGTTTCTTGTTTTTTCCCCCTTCCGACCCCTCCCCATCCGGGGATGGCGAGGATGCATTTTTTTCTTCTGTGCTATCATCAGGTGGCTGGAGAGAGATATGTCTACAAGTTTGTGTGTGATCCGGAAGCCCTTTTCTCCATGGCCTTTCCGGATAATCAGCGCCCGCTGCTGAAAACAGACATGGAGCGCCACATCAACGAGGAGGACACGGTGCCTCTGTCTCACTTTGACGAGAGCATGACCTACATGCCCGAAGGGGGCTGTTGCAACCCCCACCCCTACAACGAAGGCTATGTGTACTGACACGAGTGACTGTCATGCAGGGCGTCCTTGGCCTCGCCTCTTTCTGCAAGATGCGGAGAATCGTCGAGTTCTCTTCAATCTTTGTTTTATTTTTGTTGTTTGTATTTTATTTTTAAATAATAATACAAAAAGGGGCTTTTCCTGTTGCATTATTCTATGGTCTGCCATGGATTGCGCACTTTATTTGAGGGTGGGTGGGAGTAATCTCAACATTTATTCTGTGTAACAGAAAGATAAAGGGTGAATGGGCAGAGGGATTTGGGGATTACTTTTTTCTTAGGCTTGGGATAGGGTCCTACAGGTTTTAGGTATGATGAAGTTATATCATGTCTGATTTCATAATAACAAGATAATCTTCATTTTCTCTGGGTAACTAGGGTACAGTTGATTTCACATTGTGTAAATATCCACTTGGAGACTATTTGCCTTGGGCATTTACCCCCATCTTTCCTCTGTCTCTGCAGGCGTACAAAAACATCTACTATAAATCGCAGTTTAATTGTTAGAAAGAACTGTTTTTGCACTTCTTGTAAAAAAGGTATTTAGCAATCGATTACATTTGCCATAGTTTTGTTTTGCTTTACACATAACTCACAGAGAATGACCATAAAAATGGGCGATTCTCTCGGAAGCTGAGTAATTACCATTACTGTATATGAGGGGCACAATTTTGGACTCTGGCTCCAAACTGAGTCACAGGCCAGTAGCATTACAAGTATTTGGTGCCACCTTGCTGTTTAAATAAAAATCATACTGTCTTTTAAATATTTTGAAGCCCATTTTCATTAATAACGTTATGGTCCTTTGGAATCTTCATTTAAATGTTAAATCTGGAATCACAATGAAGCAAAACGTATCTGTCTTTTTTCACTTCCTTCAGTACATAAATACATTGTTTAATCAGTAAGAATTAACTGTACTAAATCACATATTATGCTGTTCTAGTTTCAGCAAGCACTCTTTAAGAAAAATATCCACTGCATTAAATAGGTACTATAGTAATTTTTAGACATGGTACCCACTGATATGCATTTAAATGTTTTACTGCTGTGTTATGTTGATAACATATATAAATATTAGATAATGCTAATGCTTCTGCTGCTGTCTTTTCTGTAATATTCTCTTTCATGCTGAATTTACTATGACCATTTATAAGCAATGCAGTTAACTACAGATAGCATTTCAGGACAAAATAGATGATTCACACCATTTATTGCTTAAAAAATAGCTTACGCCATGCTATGCTATAAGCAGCTTTTATGCACATTGACAAATGAAGAGTAAGCTTCAGCTTGCTAAGGGAAGCTGTGGAAACTTTTGTAACTTTTGGTGAAATGGAAAATGACCTAGAAACTGTCAAAGAATAAGAACATGAGGAAGTTGCTGTATGACATAGTGCTGGCACTGATATTATCCGTCATCTCATTTTGGACACTCCTGTAAATGTGACCAGATTGTTTGAGAGAAGACTTAAAGATTTCAAGATTCTAAGTTTTTGTGTTTGTTTGTTTTACATTTGGCGGAAGTATAGAAAGCAGTACACCATACACTCTGAAAAAAATAAGTAAATAGTGTTATAGTATCACTGAATAGCTTGTTAAAAGATTCAAGAAAGGAATATGAATTTTTTCAACGCATGAATATACTAGAGGAATGAAAGTCTAGCAAAATGTTAAAAACTTAATCACAAAGCCAAACTAAGCTTATGAAGGCATTTTGTGATGAGCACAGGAAGGACTCATTAAAAACTATCCCCAGCCACCTGTTTCCTAACACTACACTGTTCACAGAGATTTCTCTTAAGTTGAACAGTTATTGAAATATTAAAATCAATACTATTCACATTAATTCCTACAAAATTTGTAATTTCAACATATGTATGTAACCTGTGATTTCAATGATTGTTCTATGTCCACATCGTATGTCATTTGGCCCTTTATGGGCTAATAAAGTATGCCTTAAAAATCAGAACCTTACCCTCCTCCCACTGCGCTCATGTGGCCATTTCCAGCACTTAGAATAAAAACAGATTTAAAAATATTCAGTGAAAGTTTTATTGGAAAGAGAGCTGAGATATATGATTGAGATATTTGGTGAAATTGAAGGAGAAATTTTAAGTGAGTTTTTAAAGATGTTCTAAATAACAATCGTATTAAGGATTCTTTGTTTTTTATTTCTTTTTAATACTCTTAGATCTAGTCTCAGTGAGGAAGAATTGGACAATGAGTTATCTTAAAGTATCAATGAAATTAATGGTATTAATTATATGATATTTAAGGACAAACTATATATATATATTACTGTTTAAGGTAGTGACTCACTGAACTAAATTAAACAATTGACCAACTTTAAGTATATTTCCAATTACATATTGGAGAGTTCAAAATACTGCATTTTAAACTCTTTTGGGAAATGTACCTAAGATTTTTTAAGTTCTATTTTATTCTACTTTTGTTTGGTTGTGTTTTTATGTTTTTTTATTTTCAGGTAGATTAATAAATCTGGCAGCTGATTTCTGCAAGATTCTTGTGTTTTGAATTTCTAATTGAATTGGCTATTTAAACATAGAAATTAATTTATGAAATTTATCTTTTTTAATCGGTAAAAGAAACTAATAGAATCATCTCCATTAGTGTATGCTTGCCTCTTGTTGATGACATATTAATATCCAACAGATTAATTACAACAAAGACTAGGATATGCCAAATAACTAATGAAAAATGATTTTTCCTGAGTTATACCTATTAAAAATGCTTCAAAATAAAAATCCACAAAACCAACAGTGCAGAGCATTTTTCTCAAATCATGGAGGATCTTCAGAGATCTAATGTCTTGTAGATATTATAACAAAATTACCACAACAATAATAACAACACACATTGATCCTCTTACTGTTCTGGAGATCAGAACTTTAAGAGGCTCAAATCAGATGTTTGTAGCACTGGTTCCTGTTGGAGGATTCAAAGGGATTCTTGCTTCTTCTACTTCCAGAGGGTGCCAGCTTTCCTTGGCTCCTCGCTGCACCACTTCACTCTCTGCCTCCCCAGTAAGATCCGCCTCAGCTGTCGTTAGCGCTCTGCCATTTCATAGGATACTTGTGAGTATGTTTATGATTCACCCAGATAACCCAAAATAATTTCCCCATTTCCACATCCTTATTTTAATCACACATGCCAAGTTGCTTTTTAGACAAACTAATCCCAGATTCTGGGGTTTGGGGCATGAATAAAGTTTGTGGACTGGGGGGAAAAGCTGTTATAGCCTCCCGTACAATGAAGTCCCTGGGTAGCAAAAGAGCTAATTTATTTACTCATGGACAAAAAGTTGTATTCAGGATTTAAAATTAGAATTTATTAGGAATGTTTTTATTTACTATTGAGATATTTTCCACTTATTCTGTGTCAATACTTCTGCAAGCTTGCTGCATCCATATTCATCTACTTCATTTGGTCCTCTGGTAATAACACTAAGTTTTGAATTATTTAAATCCTGTCTTCCCTGAGATGAACACTATGTAATGAGAGAAAAACAAGATATGATAATAACAGTAATAACACAGTTAAACATGTTGTCCAATCTAGATTATATCTTTTAAAATTTTAGTGTTAATAAGATTTATTACTGTATGATCTTAACATGTGCAAACAATTGCTTCTTATTAGGTAAGAACAATATATAGATTATTTCTCTTGTTAATTAAAGGAACAATTCCAAAATGAATTGACCTACTATTGAAAGCAATTTACTTACTGCCTGATGTTACAACATTTGGACAGCTCATAGGCGATTCTAAAATGAACCTTTTCACTATCATACAAATCTATTCAGAATTTATGATGTCAAGACATTAAAGGAAAGAAGGCCATTTGAATGGCTATTACTTGGAAGCTTAAAGGAGAAAAAAAAAACCTCAAAATAAGAAATGAGAAAATATTTTCCAGTTGCAGTTTGGTATGAATGGGGAAAAGAGTTGTTAAAAACAAATAGGGTAAAAAACAAAAAAGAAAAAAAATTGAAGAATGCAAAAATACAGAAGACAGCATAAAAGCATAAAAAGACAACATAAAAGCCAAGATTCAGAAAGACATCAGTGCTGGACAAGACACTAAAAATTTAACCCTTTAGGCCAGGGAAAGATTGGGTGTCGCCATCTGCCTGCTTCTTGCCTTTCTTAGTGGGAGGACATAATTTATTAAGAACTCAACTAGTACTTAAGTTTGATTTTTTTTTATATCATGAGACTCAGACATTTTAAAAACAATTTATGGAAAAGTATGATTTAAGAAGAGAATTTGATTAGACTAGGGGAAGTCTTTAGAGAAATATTGAGGATTTTAGAATGTTCTATTAAACCTGTACATACAATAGCTACAGTATTTGAATTTGTATGAAAGGTAGGTTTTCTTTTTTGCATATAAACTCCAATATTCTTACTTAGTTCCTTTCTAAAATTATATTTGTTTTTATGGGGAAGAAATTTTTAATTCACTTGGTTATATCAAATTATACTTATGGTTTGACTAACACATTATGAAATTCTTGTGATTATAGCAAATTAAATATGCTCAGAATTTAAACCTAAATAAAATCCCCAAAATTGAAAGAATTGGACTGTCATGATCACTAAGTAATGATGACACATTTAAAACTGATAAATGTCATCTAAATTTTTGATCGTCTTCTTAATCATTCTAATAATTTATGACCAAGTCACTTCAGTAAACTTTTTTTTTTTTTTTGGAGTACTGGGGATTGAATTCAGGACCTTGTGCTTGCAAGGTAGGCACAGCACCACTGAGCTAAATTCCTCTTTCATTCACTGTCTGGATAATTTAAGTACCAAACACGTCATTTCATTTCATTTTGTTTTGATTCCAGTATCTTATGTCACTTAATTGCTTCAATTAATATGTAAGCAAGAAATTTGGAGAAGAGAACTATTTAAATTATTTTAGTAGCTACCGTATGCCAAACAGCATGGATACAAGGACATGTTTCTGCCTCAAACATTTCTTGGCTTTGTCTAATGAACACCTGAGTGTAGTGGTAAAACCAAAATGCCATTGTGTCAAGATGCCATGTGATCATAGGCAAATTCATAACTTGCACCTCACTATTTTCTTGATTTAGCTTATGACAAAAAGATCTACTACATTGACTCAAATTTTGTTGAAATACATTGTTATTTTTTTTTCTATTTTTGAACATGCCTTATGGAAAAATATAAAAAGGAAATCTAGCACTACTTAACAACAGCAAAAACCTCCATAAATTAAAACAACCTTAAGCATTAAGAAACCAAAATGACTGAAGCACATTATTTTTATTCACTGCAGAAGAGTACAGCATAAAGATCCAAAAGAAACAAATGTATTTATCTTAGTCTTCAGAAAACTGTACATACGGCCTCTTAGATTTACACCTTACATTTGGCTTCTGAAAATAATAAGTGTTCTCTGAAGACTTTGGATACACATAGGATTCAAAATCACATCACTCAAGAAGCAGAAAATGCCATTTTTTTTTTTTTTTTTTTTGTACCGGTGATCAAACTTGGGACTTTGCATTTGTGAGGCAGACACTGGACTCACTGAGCTAAATCTCATCCCTAGCTTTTAATGTAGAAAGTAGAACTGAAAGCATAGAAACTTACAAAAATATCTTAATTTTGTAATGTCATATTTCTGCAGAGGGGATTATGACATTCTTATATACATTTTAATGTTCCAAATAACTAGTAAAAGTATTTGTCTTATGTTAAGTTTAAAATATGAGTTTAACTTGCAGAGTTGGTGGAAACAAAAGATAATGCATGTGACATTACTATTTAAAGTCCAAAATGCTATTCAATTTTATAATGAACCATGGAAATTTCTTTTATCATTAAAATAGTCTTCACTAAATTCTTTAAAAATTCATTCTTTTAAAACCGATGATAAAACATTTTGTTCTGCATCCACATAACTTACTATCAAAATACTTAACTGTTTTATTCTTTTTTTTTTTTTTTTGGTACCGGGGATCAAACTCGGAAGTTGTACTTGTGAGGCAGGCAGTGGAACCACTGAGCTAAATCCCTGGCTCCAAACTGTTTTATTCTTATTCAAAATATTATTTAAAATAATCCAGGAGATACTTAGTTACATATTAGAGTCAGAGATGCAAAGAAAGCAACTTTGTGTTGTGTTTCTTTCTTTTTTTTTTTTGGCACCAGGGATTGAACTCAGGATTTTGCGCTTGTGAGGCAGGCAGCAGAACCACTGAGCTAAATCCCCGGCCCAATTTTGTGTTTCTGATAATTTAATTATAGCTCATTAATATAGATTGTCCTTGATTTTATACTATAGTTTGATTTTTTAAAAAGAACTTTATTTGTAAACACTTTCCATATAATTCAATAATTGTGGCAGGGACAAAAAGTACATTTAAATAATCAGTTTATTGGTTGTCTTGAAATAATCAAATATATTTTAACAAGTACAAACAGCCTCTTTTAAAAAGTCATATCAATAAAATGATCTTTTACATTCATATTTCTTTAGCTTGAATTGATAGAGTTGATTAACATATCATAAAGACACAAACATATTGAAGCTATAGTTATGATTAAATTCTTTAAGAGTGATAATTTCATATGACATTTTTAAAGAAAAACTCTAAAACAGAAACATATGCTGTATTTATGCTAGTATTTAATTAATGTGCAATTAGACTAGCTAAATTGAGCCTGTCTCCATTACCAATTCACTATATATATATATATATATATATATATTTACAAGCTAAGAACTTCCTAAGTTAAAACAGAAGTTGAATGACTCTTTTTCTAATTTTCCAAATGTCTTAACAATTCTTTTTAAAATCTGTTCCTTAAAATATGGTACCTAATCACATATATTAAGGCACCTTGTTTAGAATCATTCACTATAGGTTAAACTTTTGGTTTATTATTGAAAAAGTCAGGATCTGAAGAGTTAAGATTCTCTTATGTTTAGTTTTTCCTTAAATATATAATACCAGGCCAAAATGAGATGTATTCCAAATTCATTCATTGATTTTGGTTTATTTCATGAAGAGATTGTTTGCAAGTGTGTGCAGTAAATATTACAGATAACCTAAAGACTGCCATTCAAACGATTTGCATGCTTTCTTCTAAAATTATCAAGTATCAAGAAAATTATGAAATAGAATCAAAAGAAAATAGACTTTCCAGAATTTACTGTTTACTTATTTTCACAAGAATTTGTGATTATGTAGAAACCCTGAGGCAGTATTTCTACAACTAAAACAAAGAGAAATAAGAAAATAAATATTTAGATAATTTAGATCATAGAGGATAAAAACACTGTGTACTGATTCATTCACTGAGTGTATATTAATTTGCTCATACTAGCATAGCCTTGTTCATTTAAATTTATTCTATGTTGGGAAATCCACTTATTCAATGCCTCCAAATCCTCAAAGGTGAACCTTGTACAAGTTGGTATTGAACACTGCTCTAAAATCAGTTGATTATATATTTACGCTGTCCAAGTTAAGTGTTCTCACACAATGGGTTGATTCTATGAATATGCAATGGGTTTATAAAAAGTGATCCCTGTCTCAAACTGGATCAGGCTACAACACACAGATCTAACTACTCTCAGAAGACTATATATCATGTGGTATATCATTTAGTGTGAATAATGTGACTAGACCCTGTGCAAAAGAAGTACAATAAAGAATAGTTTTAAGATTACTAATGACAATGAGAAGCCAGGATACTTTTATTCAAATATACAAGTGTTCAATCGTGCATGTTGCTATGAAAAACAGGATTTAATTAATTACTAGATATAAATGTATATGGCTCATAATGCAGTGGCATGTGAAAATTTAACTGAGAATCAAGGCAGGGCAGGCCTCTGACTCATTAACTTTTCTACTGCCTCAATCCTGAGCATCTTAATTAAAAGCATTTATTAAATACCCACTTGCTGTGTATGTGTGTACCTCTGGGATTTATCACTGTGTTGTGAGGCAACCACTGGATTAGTGTTTGCTGGTTCCAAGCAACAGTAACCAACTGGTTAGGAGGTTTGCAAAGCCAAAGGCCCCATTTTGTAGATGATGTAGCTATTTTTGGTCTGTCCCCTAACAACAGGCCTCCTGCCTTGACCCTACACTGATGCTCACAAAGGGCAACGGAGATGAGTCACAGGATCATTCTTACACTGAGTGATTCCAGTCCTTAATTCACTGTCCACTCCAGTGGCTGTATTATGGCAGGAAACTCACAAGCAATATGTTGCTAGGTACCCCAGTGTGCTTAGAATAGTTTTTGTTTGCCTGGGATGGTCCCAATTTGCAGTTGTTATCCAAGCAGTGCCCATTTTTAATTTGAGTTTGGAAAATCAGCTTACTCTACCTGCACCTAGATCAGAAAGCCTGCTTGAAATGCTGCTCTTGGGTTGCCAGTCAGCTTTTATTCACTGTGGCCCACCTTTTGAAAAAAAGAGAGAAGAAAACTTAGAGGGGGAAAAATTTATTTTGCTTCATGTTTTCAGAGGTTTCAGTCCATAGTGAGCTGGATCCATTGCCTTTAGGCCCGTGTTGGGGCAGAAACATCACTATGGAAGGATGTATTGGAGGAAAGCTCCTCACTCACGGCAACAGGGGAAGAAAATAACCAGAGAGGAAGGGTCCAGGGAGCACGTGTCATCCCCAAGTTATGCCTCCACCACCTGTTACCTCCAACTAGCCCCACCTCCTAAATTTCTATCTCCTCTGAATAATGCCATCAAATTATAATCACATCAATGGATTAATCCACTGATGAAGTCACAGCACTTGTAATCCAGTAGAGACTGACCTTCCAAAAGCTCCACCTCTGAATGCTGGAGGTTTTTAGAGGTAGTTGTAGAGCTAAGGTATAACACCAAAGAATTTTTACTGTTGAGTCATCACCCTGGTTCTCTAAGACAATATCAACAGCAGGGACAGTTTTGTAGGCCACATAAAATTAACCTTCAACACCTCATAC